TGCATTTAGCCTAAGCTAAGCTTGACCCTTGCCTTCTTATTCTTCATCTTCTTCCTTAATCTTCTTGCGTTCATCAGTACTGTTTAGTTCCATCCAAGATTTCACATTTTCTTCCACTTCCTCTACCTGCAATTTTAAGTTTTGAAAACGATACGTTACACGTATTTATATATAAAATATAACATAAAAATGATCATATTGTCAGTAATCCTATGGTTGATAATTAATTAAATATGCCTGGTCAAAGAATTCTCCAGCAAAGCGTGCACCCTCGGCAGTATTTTGAGCCACATTTTCTTCAATTTCAAGGGTATCTTTAAGTCTGCCTTCCGGTAGAATATTTCCGATTTCATCCGCCACTTCCTCCACTTGCTCCAACACTTTTTCGACAGTGTTCGTCACCGCTTCGACTTTGTCTATTACAGTTTCAGCTTCAGCTGTACACATGAAAAACAATATAGCATTATAGGAGAATGCAATATGGATGACTTATAATCCAAACCTTTCAGTTTTAACAATGGCGCCCATTTGCTCCTCCAAAAGGGTAGGACTACACTCAGCAGAATTCCCAGTACCCAAAGTTTCCTGTTGGAAAAAAAACAGCTGTAAAATACATTATTTTTCGTTTTTGTAATTGTAAAATAAAAGGTAAAAAATAATGTTAGATAAGACTAACCAGGAACCATGACCAGGACTAGGACTAGACGGAACTAAGGATCCCGGCCCGGCGCTGCAACAAACGACCATGTCGTTGTCTCTTTCAGTATTTTTCAACCAAATACTAGTGCCCAGCAATTGCAGATTCTGGTTCCTTATGATCCGATGTCTTTTTGCCATGTGTTTTGATATCACCAAGAAATGGGTAAAACGTGTAATGGCAGGCTGAAATTTGCAGGACGACTCCATTTGGATTTTGCATGGAAAGATTGATGCTGAAGTACTCGACATTGTTGCAGCTTTCCTTAATGTCTGTGAAATGAAGTTAACGTCTACGTAAGAAGAGAAAACAAAAAGTGCGAAAATTTCAAAGTTCTTGGAAAATGCATGCTTTTCTTGAAGAATTTATAGCGTGTTTTTTAGACATTGGTGGGAATAGGGGGGAAACAAATATTATGGTTTTTTTTGGATAAATATTTCAAAGGTCACAAAACGTTAGAGTTTGTATTAATTTTATCATTGAACTTTGGTTTTGGCTTCAATGTAAGCACTAGACCATTAAATTGTTAACGGAATAATGATGTAGCTGTTTTCTTTCATGTGAACTTTAGTTTGTGTATTGATTTTGTCATCAAACTTTAAAACATTTTATTTTTTAGGCACTGAATGTTAGTTTATGTATCATTTTGGTCCTAGCAGGCAATTGTCAACTCCTTTGACCGTTGTTGTCTGTAAATTGTTGCATGTCACCAGTTGTTACCTATGGTAAGATTGGTACCAAATATTTCACATTTCTACTTTTTCTCCTCGAATTGGTTTTTCATGAAACCCATTTAAAATCGACAAAAAATAAGCTAAAGATTATATGTTCTAATATTTTGGTCTCCTCAAACGGTTGTCCGATAAGAGTAATTTTGACATATGTTGTTATTCTTCTTGTAAGAATGTTTCTCACCAGTCAAATTTTTGAACAAACATCCCAAATCCCTCAAATCCGAGAAAGCCCCTAAACTTCCAAAATGATAGATTTTTTAATGTATAATTTTATGAGTTTTAAAGAGATTTTGAGAAAATCTAAATTAAAAAATAGTAGAAGATACTGAGACGAGTTCATCATTGTCTAGGGTGACATCAAAAGACGTCAGATAATGATGGTTTCCGATAATAACTAAAAATGGATGAGAAAAATCCTAATTTTGATGAAGAAGATCATGATGAGGTGAAATAAAAAATTATCTTTGCTTCAACGTCAACACCAAACTACCATGTCATCCGATTGTTAATAGGTTAACTGCCCATTGATTATATTAGAGTCAAAACTAAAATTTATCGCTAAAATTGAAGTATTTTAAAGTTCAATAGTAAAATTCGTACAAATCCTAAAATTCAGTGATATTAGTTTATCCTAAAATTTTCTACAAGACAATGAACCCTAATCTTTGTTTGCATGTTGAGTTTTTTTTATTATATGTTTTCAAATTTTTTAGTAGTTTCATCCTTATTGAATTGAGTTGTGTACTTTGTTTTCCCCAAAAGGAATAATGTCTCGAAAATCCTTAATGATTTGAAAACTCGATTATGATATCTAATTAACAAGTCAAAGTTATGATCACTTTATCGAGTAATTCCATTGCTTGCAGCTAACATCTTTCAAAAGATAATTAGCCAATTGAATTGATTTAAATAGGATCATTACCCAATTACTTTAGCTGCTCATTCACCACTTTGAATTGATTTAAAAGATAATTTCCTAATCCTGTTATTAATCAATGTTTTAAGAACTCAAGGATGTATCCAAGTTTTCCCAAATCATGACATTTTTAATAAATATTCTAAGCCTCAATAGATTTGTTTTCCACTTTCAGGCCTAGTGTAATTTTGGATTAAGCTGGAATCTTGTCTTGCTTATGTTCACAGGAACAAGAATACTACTGCTACAAGAGATTTAGCTTTTTCTTCTGTCTTATCTTTAATTAAGAGTTATTATTTGATACACCATTAAGAAAAAATATTATTAAAACATGTAAAAATTATCAAATTTATGATTTAGTTTAATTAGATCTCAAACAGATAATTCAGCTTTGATTAAATTTAAACACAAAAATCACATACACATGATTTGGTTTTAATTAAATTTATGCATAGTTCAAATTAGGTTAAAAATTGTTTCTATTAAAATATTTCAACTAGATTTAAAAGTGAAAATCTCAAATAGATAATTTAGTTATAATTAAATTTAAACAAAAAAAATCAAATGTAATTTTCAAGTCGACTTGAACACGAAAATCGCAAACAATGGTTTTTTGATTTCTCTTAGAAAGGAGGCTTTAGTAAAGGTATAAAAGTGAAGTTCGTAAAAAGAATGAAATACTAGTTAAAGAATTTTTACAGAAGATATAAAATTATTTAAATAATCATAATTAAAATCTCTAATAATTAAAATAAAAATAAAATATTATTGCATGTAAAAAACTTATCCAAAACCCGACTCAAAGGAACCCGACCATAGATCTACCATTTTCATTTTATATTTAGACTCCAAATTTTGGAACATTTCATCTTCACATGATTTCTCTAAACTTTTTAAAATTTTAAGTTAATCACCTCAAATTCTATCACTAGATTCCGCTGCTGGTTGCTTATTAACCAATTAAGTCCAAATCGAAGCCTTTTGACTTCCAACTTACATTCGTGTGTGTGTGTATATAACAACCGTGCATGGGTGGAAGATCTCGTGAGATCTTTTGAACAAACCTAATAAGCCAGGAGTTCATTCATGATTTGATTTTTCAAATGCAAAGGGTATTTCAATGTTCACGAGAACAATTCAAGCTACCCATCAAGGTGCGCCGGTTTGGTTTGACTCTCCGGATACACTCCACTGGCCTTTAATTTTATATGTAATTCAATTCTTGAATAGATTTACCATCTAATTCGTTACATAATTTTTATTGTAAGATTATAATATGTCGCACCTATCAGGAACTAAGCAATTTATTGGATGAAAGGGACCGTGACCCTTCAATTTTTTGTTGTTGATAAATGATATCTTAGATCAGTTATTTAATTATTAATGAGATAAGATCTTTATCTCCCTTAATTTTGAACAGAAAAAAAAATCATTATGGGATCTTTGAGAATTTTTTTGAGATTTTTTGAGATCTAGGACATTTGTTTCAGTATACGTGGAATTTGTTACCCCCTTGTAATGAGTTTCTAAAACATACTAAATAATTGAAACTCGTCACTCTTCCATGACAAGTTTCATATAATTTTATTCCATTTCATATGTCGAGTTTTATTTTTTTAAGTATGTTTTATAAACTTATCATCCCATGACAAGTCCACGTGTACTATAACAAATGACTTAGACATCAAAATAATTTTTACACATCCCTATTTTTCAATTTCCCCCCAAAAATTTAAACCTCATTAATAGCCTCATGAAATTGTGAATTCTTTTAACGTTTAGGGGGAGAAATAAGGGATAGAACTGAAATTTCAGAGACAAATTACTAGCAGGGTTGGTTAAGTGGTAAATAACTTGATATTACTCAAATATGTATCAAGTTTGAGGTTTTGTGTATGCAGAAAATCTTCATTGGGAGACTCGTCTACTAAATTCATGTGTGAGACACGAATCGGAAGGGCAACCCCAAAAAATTTAAGGGATAAATTTATAAAAGTTTAAGGAGATATGAACTTATAAAATTTTAAGAAGACAAAAACAAAATTTTAATCAAAGATACGAAGAAAATATATAAAACATATAGGAATTTAAAAATTTTAACAGGGTAATTGATGTCACCTGTCTCTCTCTCATCTATCCCTAAAAAATATGTGTACTTTTTTCTGAAAAAAAGTTGATTTGTTCTATAGATGAATTGAATATCACGAATCAAGTATTTTTTTTAACATCCCTAAGATTAAGATGTGACTTTGGTTTGTTAAAAGAAAAAGAAAACAAAGTTATCATGTTAAAAGAAAACTAACCGACCAACAATTAGTTGGTTTGTCAAGTAATGTCAAGGGTTCGAATCTTAACGTTTACGAATGGAGTAAATTGGGTTGGAAAGGTCTTCCTCATCTCAGCAGTATCGATTTGGATTAATTGATCAATAAATTAAATAGTAGTAATTAATTTTTAATTGAGAAAAAAAACCAACCGGGAGATGTGGGAATATCCCTGTTTTTAAGTGTCTTATTTGATATTGAAAGTTTAACCAAAACGCTACTGTAACAATGTAGTTATCAAGATCGCCGGCATTTTCAGAAAAAATAAAAACACTGTAAACACTAGATTGTATGTCTCCATATTACAAGAACAATTTGAAACTTTAACAAGTTTGATGGCAAAGGAGCCATAAAATTAATCCATCCCAATTTAGCTAAAAAGCAGCTTCTTCTTGGATTCTTCGTAGCATTTGATTAACAGCTGCAGCAATTTCATCCACAGTGTTCAAATGGCAACCTTCCTCCACCTTCACACTAATCGAATACAAACACATTTCGTTCATCGTCGTCACGTTGAGGTGGAGAACGGCGAGCCGTAGGCCTTGTAATCCAGCAACCAGTTTCAGAAGCTGTCTGGGTCGTTTCTTCGACAGTATCTTCACATTTGCATGTGTCTCCGCCATTGTCACTTCTATCTCCGCCATGCTTTCCACCGTGGCTGCGGCTTCGGTGGCCGAGAATTGTGGGAAGGAGAAGAAGTCGGCAAACGGCAAAGAATGACAGCCATTGTGTTCTGGTTGTTGTTGAGTTGTCGTCCTCTTTTCAGCTTCCATGGAATGCAACTGCTGCTCTAATTCCTTAACGAAATCGATGGCTCCGCCGATTATCGATGCTTGATCGCCCTGGGAGAAAAAATTGTTACTTCGTTAGGGCTTAATTCATCTTCAAACATGATTAAGTTATGTAAAAGAGAGAGATTTAGTTAACAAACTAACCCTTTGAACATAAGAAGATGGCATCAAGGATTTGAGCACAGACAGGTACTCATTCATTTGTTTCCGGCGATTACGTTCAACTGTAATATGAGTCATTCTCTGATTCTCTAGCTCTTCTTTGTTCTTGCTGCTCCCTGTTCGTTGGCGTTTCCGTCGATTAATCGTCGTCGTCGCTGTTGCTGATACCGGAGGGAATATTATTCCAGCTGCAGGGAGAGATAGATCAACGGTGCAAGTTTCGGGAGAAGAATAAGGATCCCATTGATCCTTTGCATGTTGCATGATTGATTTAGTGGAGGAAGAGTCCCAATTTGCACTGTTGTCAAAATTTCCCAGAAAAGCTTTATCTTCATTCTTTAAACAGAAGTCGTAGCTCCCACCGCCGTAGGACCCGCCACCCACGGTGGAGAAATCGTCGGAAATGTAACTAGTAAACGGGTCTTGGGGGTAAACTACAGCCTCTAACGCCATGATTGAAAAGACAGAATAAAAGGGAATCTGAAATGGAAGATGAAAGAGGGTAGGCATTCAAAAGGCTCAAACAAAGTCTCCCTTTTATCATGTAATCCGCCATGAAAGAAAGAGGTGAAATCATAAGAAGAAATGAATAAAATAAAAGCAAAAGAGAACAAAAAACTACAGCATGCTGCACGTGAGGTTACATTGAAGACCAGTCGCTGGACCAGAGAAAGATTCTCTTATGGCACTTCAAGAAAGACAGACACCAATGCTTTTCAGGATTGTCCTCAAAAACTAAAACAACACTTAATAATTATTATAAATTACATTTTTTTGTGTACGTATTATTCCAAAAATAAAATATTCTCATATAAACAAGTATTGCTTACGGATAAAAATAAAAAGGATAACTACTAAATTGGTCAATTTACTTTCATACTTGTACATTTTTGTTCACCAAATTCAAAACATTTAAAATTTTGCCACTTATCTATTTATGAAATTTTGACCACTTATGTAATTAATTGCTACATTTTGATCACTAAGTCGTTAACTCCCATTAGTTTGGTGAGGTGGTACATTAGTCAAAAATAGTTAAATTTTAATTTTACCCTTAAGCTTTAGATGAAGTATCACTTTGTCCCCTAAACTTTAGATAAAATATCAATTTGGCCCTAAATTTTGACAAAATGAAATAAAATGATTTTTATCTAAATTTTAGGGGGTAAAGTGAACTTCATCTAAAGTTTAAGGTCTAACTAGTATTTTATATAAATTTCAGGAGTAAAATTAAAAATTAACCACTTTTGAGTAACGTGCCACATCATCAAACTAATGGGAGTTAATGGTTCAGTGACCAAAATGTAACAATCAATTATATAAGTGACAAAAATTTAATAAATCGAAAACATAAGTGACCAAAACTTAAGTTTTTTTGAATTTACTGAGTAAAGGTGTACAAATATGGAAGGAAATTGTCCAATCCAATAATTTTCCATAAAAAAATATTACTCCTCCTATATTTTTACAGAGAAAATCCGGATTAAGGAGGATTTAAATTATTAAATTTTAAAAAATAAAAAAACTAATTAAATATTTAAATTTTAAAAAATAAAATAAAATTTAAAAAAACTTAAATTATCAAATGTCTAATTCTTCTGTATGGACAGTATAATCTCAAATCATATAATTATATCCATTTTGTGTATATTGATAATATATGATACGGATATCGAGTAAATAACTTTTTCTTATGAACCAAACAAAAGAGAGGTCTGTAAATAGATATGACTGAATTTTCATTGATAATAATGTGATCGGCGACACTTGTACGTTCAATTGAGAAAGATTTACAGGGAAAAAAAAGCTGATGATAACCCAGAGAAGATCCTGATGATGAAGATCTATTAAGAAACTGCAAAGAAAAAGCAGCTTAGCTTTTCTCAGGTGAATGCATGAGACCACGTGATCTTGCATGAATACATGTAATAATTCTTACAGTTCTTGTGTTTTTATTGTTTTTATATGTTTTATAGTAATCTATAAGAAATTTTATGTAATTAATATTTCAATTTCTCATAATCATCTAAAATTCCAAACTAAACATAATTGTGTTTAAACAAAAGTTACCTTGAACGTGGAAGGGTCTTGGTCTCCAACCTTTTATGATTTAATTGTTCTTTCAATTCCTATTAATTTTAAAATAAATAAAATTAAATCTTGATCACTTTCAATTTTCTCGGTTCAATTATTTTGTAAACATCTATTAATTTTTCAATCAATAAAAATAAGTTATGACTCTAGCCTTTTTAAATTAGTCTAAAGTAATTATAATATAATTTTAAAAACAATAACTGAATGACTAAAGTAATATTTAGATTATTAGATACGTGTTTACACGACATGTGAACACGATAAGATACCTGAATTTTTACTGTTAAAAAATTAATTTAAAACAATTTCTTTTATGTGTGTTGCTTAAACAATAATATTGTCTGACCAGAAGAAAAACTTAACAGATGCTCTCCTTTCGCGACCCACCGGAGCAACTCGATGCCACCAAAAAAGTTCGCTTTAAGCCCCCGGAGGAGGAGGTTTCTGTCCAAGATACTGAGATGATCATGGATGATCCATTGCCTCCCGTGACCTCCTACGATTCGGCTCTAGCTGGCCCTCCGACTGCAGATAATATGAACGAAAATTCTGGAGGCCCTACGAGCGATGGAAAATATCGGATTTTAAAATAAATGCAAAAATAAATAAATTCGGAGCCGTATCGACCTTTGGGTTAGGTAGGTCGAATACAAAAAAATTATCTTTTAAAATAATTTGAAGAAAAATAATTTTAAAAGATCAAAAGTAATATGCGTTTAACCAGAAATTCATTTTGAAAAAGAGTTCGAGAGTTGATTACAGGTGGGGAAATTAACACTCCACAAAACCTGAAATCGGTACCTAATCGATTATACGTCATTTAAATATTGAAAGTAGCAAATTTGAATATACATTTAAATTGTGATACTTTTAGAAAAATTAAAAGAGATGATTTTATACGAACAATCATCGAAAATACCTTTCTAGTAAGTTAAGGAGGTATTTTTATAAATTCATTGTACAAAATAATATTACCCTAATTTTTTTTAAATATAACAAATATATAAAATAAAAAAGAAAAAAACAAAATCATTTTAAAATAATAGATATTATTTTATTCGAGCAATTATGAGAGACACACTACTTATTAGTTAAGGGATGTTATCCTAAATTCCTCGTATAAAATAATATTGGAAAATATTTCAATTCAGCAAGAATTTTACAAACACGTTAATACATGATTAAAATAATAAGTATGATAACTTTAGAGATTAAACTATAAGACTAACAAGAGATTAAGGCACTATTTCAAATTAACTAAATAATAAAGAAGATAATATAAGAATCAAATATTATAAGCACTGATAGTGAATAAACCCATACCTTTTGGACCAAAATGAAATAATTCAAAATTGCATGCCAAAATTAAAGAAATAAAAAATGCATAGCTTATGGTGACCAAAATAATACGCACTGAACATAGGGGCAAAATCAGAAACTTTCATAACATATAACAATGGATTAAAATTACAACATTACAAATTTAAAGGCTCATTTAAATAATTTTCCCAAATAACTTTAATTATACATTCAGTGACTAAAACATAAATCCATAAAGTAAAGAGCCTAAAACACAAAATTAAAACCTCTTAATCAGTGACTAAATCAAATTTTCTAAACCCCAAAGGGATCTCCATGTAGTTTACCTATGCGCTAACAGGTGAAACGTAACCCCCCTCAAAACTACGTTGTTTTGGGGGGATAAATCCCTATTATATGTTTTTGGTCAACCCATTTTCCCAATTTTCTTTTCAGTCGCTCGACCTCCTTCCCCTTTCTCTCATTTTCTCTCTTTTTTTCTTCTTTGTTTTATGGGAAAATCCTTTGTTGGCCATAAATCACCGTAGCCACCACCGCGTAGAGCCCTGATTTGGTCATCTCTCACTCCTTAACACTTTCTATTTACCCTAACCCTTAAAAAAACCAATTTTAAACTACCCACCCCTAAAGCCTAAAACCCGAGACCCAAAAACCCAAAAGATCGAAGATTTACCTTCGATAACAAGGATTAATGACTCCGGTGAGGCGAACTACGGTCGGATCTAGCCAAAGGTACGTTTTTTTTGGTTTGTTTGTTTTCTTTTTCGTTCTTTTTTCTTTTTTCTCTCTGTTTTTTCTTCTGAAAACCGAATGCTACCTCTCTTTTGTTCTCTGGTTTTTATACTTGATCTGCTTAGCTAAAGCTAGAAAAAAGAGGGAAATGATTCCCCTATGCCTCTATTAATTTTCCCTGATTTTCGGGATTTTTCTTGAGTTTTCTAATGGGTTTGTTGACTTGGTGATTTGAGTTGTCACTGTTAGCTGAGATGATGACGTCCGGGCGGTGGAATGGCAGCTGTTGGATGAAGAGAGCAAACGACCAGAACAGTGGCGGCGGTAGAAGGCATTAACAGACTACGGCGATGGTACCGGGTGATTAGGGTTTCAACAACCCTAATTGGTTTGGGTTAGTGCATTGGGCCTAGCTGTATTTGGCCTCGGTTCTTGGGCCAGTTATATTTGTTTGGTTCGGGCCAAAACGGTTGGGCCTGCTGAGTTGGGCTTGTTGTATTTGTTGCCCTGCAAATGAAATTAATTATTTAATAATAATAATAATAATAATAAATAGATAAATAAAACTCCGGATAAAAACCACTATCTACAGATATCATCAAAGGTACGCGTTTTGGTCAGTCGCCCATTCAGTTTTCTGATCGAGCGTATAAACAGATGGAAGAGAGTATGGCTCACACGGTTTTACTGAAACTTTTAGGAAGAAACATTGGTTTGAATGCTCTTACCAATGAAACCCATGCTCTGTGGAAGCCGACCAAACCGTTCACTCTCATGGATATCTAGAGTGGCTATTTCCTCGTTAGATTTCAGAATGTCGAGGATTACATCAAGGTCTTGGCTGAGGGTCTTTGGATTATTTTTGGGCAATATCTCACCGTACAGCCTTGGTCGATGAACTTTAGCACATCACAACCTTATCCAACAGCGGTAATCGCTTGGATTCGTTTTCCTGACTTACCAGAGTATTTGTACAACAAGAAGATTCTTAGTAATATCGGTAGTCTCGTAGGCAAGATGACTCGATTAGACTTTCACCGTGACACCAGCCATAGGCGAAAGTTTGCCAGAGTTGTTGTCTACGTGGATCTCATGAGGCCGCTAATTTCCAAAGTGGTCGTTGGTGAGAAGATTCAGGTTGTGGAGTATGAAAATCTTCCCAATGTTTGTTTTTCATATGGGCGCTTTGGTCACTTAAAAGAAACATTTTATGAGACTCATCAGTCTAATCAGTGCCAACATGGTGCTATCCAAAATTCTGGCCATAGCAATAAAGCGGTGGAAGGTTCCAATTCAACGCTTCAGATTGAAGAACAACATGTTAACAATGTGAATTTGTCAGAATCTAGCCATTATAACCCGTGAATGATACTTGAACGACGGCGCAGACGTCAGTAAAATTCAACAACAAAAAAACAGAGCAAATCATGAAACATACGGAAGTCGGATCAAGGTTTGAGTTTTTAAATGGCAACTCTCTCAGAAATGAGAAAGATTCTCTTTTTACCCGTGCTCGAAATGGAGAATTGAATCTTAATTACCTTTTCACATCCAATGCTATTAATATCTTGGGGGGAAATATCCATTTTGAACGCACTAATCCCTTCCTCGCAACCAACAATAACACTAGGTTACACGCTCAACCCTTAGCTGGCAATCATGATTGCGTGACACCAACCCATAGGAAATCAAAAAATAATTCTACAGCCCCTAAATCAAAGCAGACTGGTTCAGTGGAGCCTACTTTTCGTTTGGCTTCAGTGTAAACCATGAATGATAATAATGTGATTTAACACGTAGACTCCATGTTGCATGACGATAGCTCCAACGTGCACATGCAAAATTTTGGCTATTCAAGTAGACTTGATTTAAATCAATCCGAAGTGGTAAGTGTTAATGTTTCTCGATATATTTCAAATACTAACCCCATCTTCAAAAACGCCTTAGGTCTGGATGGACAACAAATGCAAACTTCCTTAGACTCTAACCTCCACCAAGTGGTTGCGTTCAATGAGGAAGCCAATGCTCGTGAGGTTCCGCCTACTTCCCATCAAGGTTCAGTTAATGTGAAACATCAAACTTGTAATCGCCATTTTTACCTTGACAGTAGCCATCTCCACGTTGCAGCTCCAGCAGAGTCCACAAGCCCAGAACAGCTGTCCCTCCACCACAACAGTGTTCCAGTAGCTTCCAACACCATAACAGTGTCCCTCCACGTTTCAGCAACTTTCACGTCGTCGGTAGCTCCCACGGCCTCCCTTGCTCCACGTCCTGAATCAACCCATCATCACAAAAAATAACATAATGTAAATCTTTATTTTTTACATATAAACTGGGGCTATAAAAACCCCATAACAATGTGTAAATTGGGAATTGGGACGGAGGAATCAAGAACAATACAAAGAAAATCAGAAACAAAAATACAACAAAGGTTATTTTTACATTTGGTCTTTATTTTTCAGTTTGGTATTTCATATTTTATTTTTTTCGAAATAAAAAAAATCAGTAAGAAAAAAACAGAAATATAAAGGAACGATTTTACCTCGTTCATAGTTCTTCGTCGGAGTCTAGGTTGCCGGAGAAACGTCGGTTGAAGAATCGGAGAAAGGCTTGAGATTTTTAGTCTCGTTTTTTGTAGTTTAATCCCAAATCGGGATTTAAAATTTTTTAAGGATAAATTTGTAGGTTCGGGTTTTGTGTGGGATAATCAGAAGAGTGTTTGGCCACCGATTTACGGTGGTCGGTGTCAAGGCCTAGGCGTTGAATGGCTCTCGACCGAGCCAAGGAGAAGAGAGCTTTGAGTTACTGAGTTGAAAGAAGAAGAGAGAAAGGAGAGTGTTAATGGAGAAAAATGAAAAAGAAGGGACACGTTACTGGAAAGGAAAAAAAAGTGAGAGTTGTTATCATTTTATTATTTGGGTAAACTACACATAAGGTCACTGGTTTTTAGGACCTTCTTATTTTGTTCATTTATTTTAAGGGTTAATCATGAAATAATCCCTCTAATTTAGAAGTCTATTTACAGTTTAGTCATCGATTATTTATTTATTTATTTTATTTCGATTTTTGCATGCTAATTTCTATTTCCTTTCATTTTAGTCACTGAAATTCATTTCTGAGCATATTAATTTTGCATTTAAATTTTAATTTATTATATTTTAGTCACTAAATTAATATATACTTTTAAGGTAAAATATCATGATTAATCCTTTTAATTTTAAACAAATTTAATTTTAATCCCGTATAATTATATAGGTTAAATTACACTGATAATATTTATGCTTTATGATATTTCGAATAATGTCCCTTAATTTTTATATTTTTATCACTATTTATATATATGTATATATACATGTAAGGTCAAATACCTTATTTAGTCCCCCATAATTTAATTAATATTTATGTCAATCACCAATTAATAATTAGGGTTAATTACACTATTAGTAATTATATTTTCATAATACTTCGAATAAGGGCTGTAAATTTTAATATTTTACATTTTATTCCTATTATTTTTATTTTATTTATTTCAGTCACTATTTAATTGCAATTTAATTTATATTATTATTATTTCAATTTCAATAAGTTTAAATTATTACTTTAATTATTATGTTATTATTAGTTAGTCATATAAATATATAATAAGTAGTATTTATTTATTTATTTTATTTGTTTCTATTAAAATCCTATTTATAAATTTAATTTTATAAATTACTTTTAAGAAAATAATCATATTTTAAATATATATTTATTTTTCAATATTAAGAAAGGGTAGTCTTAAAGCATCTGGATGTCCATTTTCTGATATTTTTAAATAAATAAATATTTTATTTTTATAAATTATATATATTAATTTATTTTAATTATTTTTAGAGAAATGTTTTATTAATATTTATTTATTTTTTAATATTAAGAAATGGGCTGTCTTAAAGCACCTAGAAGTCATTTTCCTGATATTTCTAAGTAAATAAATATCTTATTTATAAAAATATAAATATTTTCTTAAAATTATACTAATAAATTTGAAATAATAGAATTATGAATTAAGTATATTTTTGAATAATTAAAATTCTAATAAAAGACACAATTTATAATTAATGAGTACCAAATTTTGGGAGTTATAGGGGTGCTAATCATTCCCTAAACGTAATCGACCACGAATCCCTTTTTATTATTAAAAAGAACGAATCTTTGGTTAAAAAGAAGATCAGTTTATCTTTTAATTGATGTTTTCTTAAAAACTCTTTTAAAAGATAATTTTTAGGTATTCGACCTACCTGACCCAAAAGGCCGATGGCGACTCCCAAAACATTTTAAAAACCATTTATTCACATCACTTTTCCCGCCGAGTAAAAATTTCGTGCCCAGGCGAAAGCCGGTTACGACAGCTTGGCGACTCCACTGGGGACTGGTCAAACTTTAAAACCAATTATTAATTGTCTCTATCAATTAGAAAATTAAAAATTCATATATTTAATTTTTAATTATTTCTTTTCAAAAATTATATATATATACTTATTATTTTCATAATATTTATATGTTATTTTAATTAATGCTTTATTTTCAAATATTAAATTTTATTATTTATTTGTTAGAGGTTTGAACATTTCTCCTCACATACAACACTTGCATCGCATAAACATAATCTCTATACTTGAGATTTGTCCCTTTTAAGTGGGAGTGAAAGCGACGTCTTCGTGAGAATTTATTCTTCGTGTCAGACCTAGCAAGTAGCTTTCGGGATTCATATGTTCTATGTCTTCGTGAGAATTTATTCTCCGTGTCAGGCATAGAGAAGTGTATCCCCTCTAATTGAACTCAATCCACTTTAGTCTGTGATGGACTAGGATAGAGGGTTAGCAGCCCAAGGAGGCACTAACAAGGACAATTCGAGTTCCTTTACTCTTAGAACTGAAACCCTGCATATAATAAACCTTAGAAATTCTCCTGATCTAAGACTGTACTGAATCTCTGTCCGTAGGTGTACACAAAGGAGAAATAAGCTTTAGCTTTTAATTTATTTTATTTTCTTTTTCCTAAATAAATGCATGCGTACTAGAAATCTTGCAGTTAGGTTAATTTTTCCAAACAAAGCATGGAACTAGAAAGCATGTGGTTAGGATTTATACCTTGATAGATAGAATTTTTATTTCTATTAATTGGTACTAACCAATTTATTTTCCTTTCTCATTTTATTTTGCTCTAACTTGTTTGCATGGATTTCTTTTGTTTGCATTGCATGATCATGGCATAATCAAAAGGTGTTGACTTGAAAGACTGTTCATCAAATTGGAAAGAAATCGTAAATGGACAAAAAGTTTTATGATCAAAAAAAATATGTTGCGGCCAAGGAAAGACATCCTGAGGAAACTCCGAGGATGGAAGCGAGCAATGCACACAGAGTTCCTACTATATTAATACCAAAAGTACTCCACAAAGATCCTGCCAGATTGATACCAAAAGCAGTCTATGGTAAGAGTATCAGTCAGGGCATTCAGAGTAGAGGAGGTTTTTATGAAGCTCAAGCATGTTATTTGAAGGACTTGAATGACCAAAACAAGAAATTGAGCACAGAAGTGGAAACCATGCATGAAGATTTCCAAAAGATCAATCAAGCTTTTCAAAATGCTGGCATAGGAAACACCCTAGGAGAGTGTATAACAGGGGTCACCAAGCTGAAAAAGAACTGCAACATATACGTAGATCTTGTCCAAAAACTTCTTGAACATAAAGGTTCTCTTACCAGGGAAAATGAGAAACTCCGAGAATTAACTCAGAAGATGAAGAAAAAAGAGAATGGCATGGAAGAAGCCGCAGTCCCGACAAACAATATGGCCGATAAAATGATAGACTTAGCTAACTTTACAAGGAATTGAAGCAGACTGATAACTCAACTTTTGAGCATGAATGGAAACTAACTTGGCTTTAGAGAAGTTAGGAAGGAAAGTTATCCCCTATATGTAAAGTTTTGTTGAAGTTAGAATTGAAAGTTGTCTCCTATATGTAAAAGTTTTGTTTGATGCATAGAAACTTTTTTGTTCAATGAAATATGTTCTAAGATGATCACTCTTGAGTAACACCTTTTCATACATACATTGCACTTTGCATCTTTGCATTTTCATTTATATGTTTACTTTTGTATGGTACAATTTGCATTTTTATTGTTACATTCACATATTTACATTTGCATTTGCATTTTGCATTTTTTTTCATTTTTACGTTTGTATTTACATTTTCATTTTTGCATTTGCATCTTTGCATAATTACATTTTATTTCAAACTATTTTACATACATTCAATCATGACAACGTGGAATAATTCGTGGAGAATTCCATGACAGAATTTTTAAAATCAAAGTAGAGCTA